CCCCCCCCCCCAGCGGGAATAGGGTTAAATAGATTAAACAATATTTAGATCCAGTGAAGAAAGATGGAGACTAAGTAGCACATATGATCTGCCAAAGTATGATGATAATATTTGTTTGGATAAGGTTGATTTTAGTGAGCGGGGAATAAAAGCAGAGTGTGGTAAGTTTTTCTATCCTGTTGAGTATTAAATGCCATGCTGACACATGACAAATATCTTACAGTAAGAACCAGAAAACTGTGGAATAGCAATACCTTTGTGTATTTGATGTTACTATAATGCAAATAGTTGTATTGTATTGTAGCTTATTTTATCATTGAATTAGTGAAATGGGTCAGTTTACACTGCACAATTGCTGTGTCTCATGTTCATAGGACTATTCAAAGTCATAACTTGAGTCTAAAAGACGACTTCCTATTCCTGAGTTTTAAGGTTCTTAACTATCATCTACTCTGGATTGATGTTTAGGTTGGTAGTTACAATATCAACGCTAATTTTTCTATAAACTAATCTGTTGTTTAGGAACAAGTCGAGAAAAGGAAATTAACTTTTATAATCGAAATCGAAATGTATTGTTTGATTGTTACAAAATGTTTGTTTTTCCATTTGAAAAAATCTGCAAACAAATTTAAAAAGAATAAAGAAATAATTGATGCTACCTTAGATTTCATCACAAGTTTCTTTTGAAAAAATGTTCCTAAAAAACAAATTAGTTTTAAAAAGACTTTTGTACTGTTTTCTTCTGAGTTCTGGGTTATTAAAAAATCGTTCCGTCTAAACACCCTCCTGAATTATCCCATCTGTTGAAACAGTAATTATAAACCTAAAACTGACACAGATGTAGGATTCCAGCAAGAAGTTTCAGACTCTGATTAAATCCTAACCTTGGAAACAAGAGGATTCTTTCTACAATCTCTCTGAATTTAGTTTACACATAATTAATTTTTTGCATTAAACTGATAACATATTATATTGTTGATTTCTTGTTAGTCAAACTGAGCTGGGAACTTTAGAATGAATAATCTTTAATCCCAACTACTTAATCCGAATATCCACTTTAAATAGATTAAACAATATTTAGATCCAGTGAAGAAAGATGGAGACTAAGTAGCACATATGATCTGCCAAAGTATGATGATAATATTTGTTTGGATAAGGTTGATTTTAGTGAGCGGGGAATAAAAGCAGAGTGTGGTAAGTTTTTTATCCTGTTGTGTAATTAAATGTAATTTTTCTAGAGGAACAGGTCGAGGAAAGGAAATTAACTTTTATAATCGAAATCGAAATGTATTACAGTATTGTTTGATTGTTACTAAATGTTTGTTTTTTTCCACTTGAAAAAATCTGCAAACAAATTTAAAAAGAATAATGAAATGATTGATGCTATCATAGATTTCATCACAAATTTCTTTTGAAAAATATGTTCCTTTAAAACAAAAGTGGTTTTAAAAAAACTTTTTTTCTGTTTTCTGTGTTATTAAAAAAAATTTCGTCTAAGCACCCTCCTCAATTATCCCATCTGTTGAAACAGTAATTATAAACCATAAAACTTACACAGATGTAGGATTCCATCAAGAAGCTGCAGACTCTGATTAAATCCTAACCGTTGGAAACAATCTACAATCTCTCTGATTTTTATTTTTTTGCATTAAACTGATAACAATTATATTGTTTATTTCTTGTTAGTCAAACTGATCACATTCTCTAAAAAACCTAACCATAACCTTAAATTGTCTCACTTTGAAAGAGTTGATAAATAATTTAATTTTTTCAGCTTCTGAGGAAGAGTTGAAAAAATATGATCCATTTGCCAGTAAGAGAATTTTATTAAATTATTTATAAAATCTATTAAGGTCTAGCTTTGTTAAATCCTAGGTTGTTGCGAAGTACTAGAAATGGATGGCAAACAGTTCAAAATAAATTTTAGAAAAAGAAACTATGAAGCAGAAGATGGCGATATCATACTCTGGAGGTAGGGTTGGATCGTGTTCACTTTTAAAAAAACGACGAAGAAAAAAAGAACAAAAGAAATGGTCGTTTTAAAGACGTTTGTTTTTCAAAAACAATCGTTTTTGAAAAAAAATCCTTTTAGTTCTTAAAAACTATTGTTTTTAAAAACAATAGTTTTTTGAAAAGTTCGTCATTTTGTTAATGGAAGTAGGTCGTTCTTAACTTTTGACGATCGATAATGATCGTTAACAACAACTCTTCTTTAACTACCGTTAACAAGGACCCTTCATTAACGATTATTAACGACCTTTTATAACAAATACATTTTTTGTTCGGAAAATCCTTAGATAAGCAATCTCTTCAGTCAGAAAATATTTAGATTTACTCCAGTGTGGTAGAAAAAAACAAAAACAAAACGAAAAAAGATCTTTTTAAAAATGGTTTCTAAAAACGATTGACAACCCTAACTGGAGGCTTATCTTAAATCTAACAATGTGTACAATTAACAACAAAATTGAATGATTTGAAGTTTAATCTACTAGAGTTAGATCAAAAAGATTGTCAAGTACTTGATAACCTATTTGGAGTTAGATAGGTCTTGCAGGGAAAATGATAAAATAAAAATCTAGGCACTCCGATTAATTCAAACCAAGTAAAATATTTTGTTCCTCATTATGTTGGTTTCTTTATTGTGGGAAAACATTATTTTCTTTAAGCATGAAAGTAGGGATTGGCATCGTTTTTAAGAACAATGGAAAAAATTATCCTTTTTCGTTTTCATTTTTTTAGAGAAAAGAAGGGCAAAGAAGGGCTTAAACAATCTAACTAATAGTACTGAACCATTGAAAAAGAAAAACGCAACGAGTTGGTTTTAATGTAAATGAAATGAATGTTTAGCCATTCATTTTCTCATAAACATATTGCCATTATCTGTGTTCCTAACTGTTCCTTTTATCTTAAAAAACAAACCTTTTTATAAAATATTGTTTTAAAAAACGACAGTTTCGTTCTTAGTGTTCTATTTGTCGTTAATGAAACGATCAGTTCGTTTCTCAAAAAAGTGAAACTGCCCAATCCTATAAATGAAAGTTCTTGAACTTGAGTTAGCAGTATTTTTTTTGGTTTTCTTCTATTTTTTGTCTGAAATTAATGTTTCAGACAACAGAGTTTACTGTTTAGTTGAACTAATTTACTTGACAATAAATGATTATTGTCACATCCTAGAAATCCATGCAATCACATTGACAGGATTTTGTTGTATAGAAGTTTTCGAAAACAAATAAAGAAGAAGTTGAGAACTTTCAAAAGACATTTAATCAATATTACTTGTACGTATTATATCTGAAAGTAAAACTGCAGTAAATAAAAATAAAAATTAGATAAAATGCAAAGGCCAAATATGCGTCTTTTGTTTTAAACTATGAAGTAGGAAAAATGAAGAAGTTTTCAGTTTGAGTTTTATTTGTTTTTTTAAATGATTTCAGTACAAACTGTTTCAAGTTGTACACAATAGCCTGATATCCATGAAACTAGTTCTCCAGCAGTCCAAAAACGTCACAGCAAAGTGTACAGAAACCCTATTGCCCCCTCCTTGTATTCAATTCTCCTTGGTACAGACAATTTTGTGTTAAATCCAAAGGTTATCCAGTATTATTGGGTTATCATTAGGGCTGGGCAAAGTTTCGTTAACGAAATGGAGGTTTTAAAAAATTAACAAATCAGTGAAGAAACGGATCAGCCGTTTTTATAAAAAAAAATAATGGTTGAAGTCGTAAACGAAACGGAAGTGTTTTTAAAACGGCATTAATTCTAAAGTTGCTTGGAACTTACAAAAAAAAAATTATGTATTTCGGAGTTGGAACTAACCGTTAACGAAACGAACAGAAAAACATGGAACCTGCCCAGCTCTATTTATCATACATCATTAGATAGACTTTTTCGGTAAATAATTAAAAGGAATCAATATAAATAAACCTGTTCATGGAATAGCAAAAGTGAACCTCTATTATACACACAAAATCTTTCTAATCACTCTAATCATGCCTACTATCTAGTTTAAATTATCCCAAATGGTGGTACAAAAGAGGATCATCATATCCCTCCTCCTCATCTGATGAAGAAGTTTGTCCTGACGTGGCAAGATTCAGCTCTGGCTATGATCCCAATTGTGTGGCAGGTTTTGATTTTTGTATTATGATATGATATTATGTATTATGATATTTATGATATTTAAGGCTAAAGGAAAACCTAGATCTTCTTTTTAGATGTTTTCATCTATAAGAACATTTCGGGTGCTCTGATTTTAAAGCTGAAGACGACCTCCAATCATAATGCCGTTGATCTTTAAAATTGTTCACAATGGATGAATGAGTTATTTCGTTTTAGAGTTAAGACTGTAAATAACATCTAAGCTAATATCTCACGGAGTTTTTATGATGGTATTTTTCTTTTCTGTGATGGAGGGAAAAGGTCCGTAGGGAGGGGAAAGGTACTGGGGATGCAGAAGGGGAGAAGGAGGCAGGAAAGGGGGGTGCAATTGTTAAGAATCTGCTTTGACGTTAATAAATTTTCCCTCTCTAAGAAGATAAAAATTAAATTTTATGTCAGAGCATATTGATTGACCATATTTTTACACATGACAACTTGATATAGAAACATGGGTACAGGGCATTACTTTTTTAAAAATTGAAAATATCAATTTATTTAATTTTTCTAATGCACTGTTTAAAATTTTGTTTTGAACCTCCTGAACATCTTAATTTTAAGAAACAGGAGTAGGCTTTAAACAGTTGGATCAATTATTGACTTAAATCACACTCCAATACCTCAGGAAGTCTTAGAATCCCCCTTTTTCCACTCCTTAACCCATATTAGAAAAAAAGTCAAACTAGAATATGTAAGAATTAGAAAAAAACAACTACTTAGTGATATAGGCTGCATAAGTGTGTCACACACATAAGCTTATAACATGAACAACAATCAACATGTGTTATAAAACAGCTTGCAAATGAAAGGACAATGTGCATCTGATATATATGGTTTGTTTATTGTACAGACTTTTTGTCTTTAATACTAACTTTAGAGTAGTTCATGCAAACACATGCACTGTTTTAGTTTTTATTAAAGAAATAATTGTGAAGTATAAATATATAAATATCAGTAAATTAAAACATAAACAGATTCCCAGTCTTTCAGAGAAGTGAGACAGTTAACCTTTTATAACAAACCCAAGATCAATCTTCCTCTGAAAATTTTATTTGTTTGATTAAACAGTTCATAAGTTCATGGCAATCTGAAATTTTGAATTTTACTGATCCAACTTTGATGATAATTTTTATAAAAATTTTGAAATTATACACTTACTATCTAAATACTTTAGGGCGTAAAAAGCGTGAAGCAAGTTTGAATTCTACAACAGCAGAATCAGGTAGGGCAACTGTCAATGTAACAACTGTAGCAGATACAAGTATCGCAACAGAAGCAGCTGCTGGTGTAACATCAGAATCAGCTACCAATGTAATAACAGAATCAGCTACCAGTGTCACAACAGAATCTGCTACCAGTGTCACAACAGAATCTGCTACCAGTGTCACAACAGAATCTGCTACCAGTGTCACAACAGAATCTATCAACAATGCACAAATGGCTAATTATGACATAATGTAAATGATGATGTAAATGATACCTCAATTTTTTCAATTTAAATTCTGCTTAGATTAGATTACAGTGACCCAAAAAGCTTGATTTCCCAATTGGATTATTCTAAATCTTCAGGGATAAACTGTACAAAAGAAGATCTTCCTGATCTTGTCAATGATAGACCTGATGTAACAACATACGCGTGGGATAAGCAAACAACTTATTACCAGTATACAGTGAGGTAAACCATGATACATATAATTGTTGAAAAATACGTAAAATCATCCTTTTTTTAGTATCTTGTTTGTTGGCAAACTAAGCAGGAATTTCATTAGATGCTAGCTGAAGGGCCCGGCGTTGCCCGTGGAAAAAAATTTAAAAAGATATTTCAAAAAAATTTAAAAAAATTTGAAAAAAAATTTGAATTCTTTTTAGCCTTTAGTGTCCACAAAAAATTTCAGCCCAATCGGTCCAGCCCTTTGGCCGGCTATAGGCAACATATATATATATATACAATGTCTTGTTTTATTATATAGATTAAATAAAGTTTACAGAGATGAAATACAGAACAAGTTTCGACCTTGAAATTGTCATAACATTAATAGTTCTTCTTCTTCTAGATATAAATGCAAAGAACTTGGGAAAGCCTTTCAGAGAGAAGATGGATCTTTCTACACTTACTATTCAGTAACTTGTCAAGCAGATAAAACATGGTCATCCACATCCATCCCTCATCCATGTGTTTGTAAGTAGAGATTTTTTATCCCTTTATGATTGTTTTTTTTTTCTGTTATCCATGAGTATGACTTGTGAATTGTGACTACCTTTATTTACTATTTTTTTGTCAAAAGATTATTTATTTACTTATGCCCAGTGCAACATTTTTTAACGGAAACAGGCTATATAATCTCATGAGAAAATTGAAAATAAAATAAAATTTGTTTTCAGGGACAAGTGGATCGTATATAAGGTTGTTAATCATTTTTAAAGCGATCGAAAAAAAAATAATAGTTTTTTTTCCCGTTTTTCGTTTTCTTAAAAATGAATGGATAAAACAAACAAATCACTCGTTTTAAACTTTTACAAGACCAAAAAGATTGTTTTTGTAAGATCGTTTTTATTTAAAGAATCGTTTTTAAAAAACATTTTTTTAAACATTTGCTATTGAATCTGAGTTTTAGGAAGATGAGTTTATAAAATTTGTCTTAAATATTTATTTTTCGTTGAGAGAAATAACCTGAATGTTTCTGACCCAAGGTTTCCTGATCTAAGGGTTTTCTGACCAAAAATGTATTCTTTTCAAAAAGATGTCATTATACAATCGTTAACAAATCGAGTTGTTGTCAACGGTCATTACCAAAGGGTCGTTGTTAACAGTAATTACCATAGGGTCGTTGTTAACGGTCATTACCAAAGGGTCGTTGTTAACAGTCATTACCAAAGGGTCGTTGTTAACAGTCATTACCAAAGGGTTGTTGTTAACAGTCATTACCAAAGGGTCGTTGTTAACGGTCATTACCAAAGGGTCGTTGTTAACAGTCATTACCAAAGGGTCGTGATTAATATTCATTAACCATCATCAAAAATTTAAAACGACTTACCTTTGTTAACAAAACGATGAATTATAACTAAAAAAACAACTTATTGGTTTTATAATTTTATGGAAAATGATCTTTTTCAAAAACGATAGTTTTCAAAATCGACCATTTGGTTTTTACATTTTTTCTTCGTCATTTTTCAATCGAAACAAGCGTTTTTCAAAAAAGTGACAATGATCAATCCCTAATTGTAAAAAACTTAAAGAAATTTTTTTTGTAATAAGAATAAAACAGTGTTTAGAATATAAGATGGATAAGAGCATTTCAAAAATACTCAATTTTTGCCAACGTGGATGGTTTGTTATGGTTTACTTTTATAGAGGGATATAATATACTTTGATTTCCAAATAATGGGTTTTTGTTCAGGGGATAGCTGTGTTGCTCCACCGACACCACCAACAGAAAGCTCTTTAGCTCTTTCATGGAATCCTAAATACCCACCCAAGCAGAACATGTCAATTAAATACATGTAAGAATATTTTATAAAAGGACAAAATGACATCAGAAGCGTATTAAATAAGACATAAAGAATGGTTTGTATGTGTTGGTGGGAGACTGATATATATGAGAATAAATGGAAAGATATTTTAATGAATGTACAACTAACATATAACTAAATATATTGAATAGTTGTGTTGTAGGTGGAATCCACAAACATAAAATATACAAAGAGTAAATGACAAAAATAATTCNAATGAATTTACAACTAACATATAACTAAATATATTGAATAGTTGTGTTGTAGGTGGAATCCACAAACATAAAATATACAAAGAGTAAATGACAAAAATAATTCTTTGGTAAATAAAGTAGATATTAGTTCCGCATATTTTTGAAAATATATTTTAATTTGGGTTGACCATTGTCAGTTCTGATAATATAATGACCATCAAATTAATAATAAAAAAGTTTTAAAAATCACAAGAAAATAAGCAAACAAACAAAAATTCTGAAAAAGGGGGTTATCAGATGTTTAAGGAGTGATGTTTAATTGGACTTAAAAATACTGAATTACAGTATGCAATTAAATAAAAACTGTTCTCTTCTGTTCATTCCTCTGAATTGATTCATGAAGTTCTAGTGTACATAGAATACATTGTTTAGTTGCACTATTCACAAATATAGAATATATTGTTTAGTTGCACTATCCACAAATATAGAATATATTGTTTAGTTGCACTATCCACAAATATAGAATATATTGTTAAGATGCACTATCCACAAATATAGAATATATTGTTTAGTTGCACTATCCACAAATTTAGAATATATTGTTTAGTTGCACTATCCACAAATATAGAATTTATTGTTTAGTTGCACTATCCACAAATATAGAATATATTGTTTAGTTGCACTATCCACAAATATAGAATATATTGTTTAGTTGCTCTATCCACAAATATAGAATATATTGTTTAGTTATACTATCCACAAATATAGAATATATTGTTTAGTTACATAATCCACAAATATAGAATATATAGTTTAGTTGCACTTTCCACAATTATAGAATATATTATTCGGATCAGTAACGTTTTGTAAAGTACATTTTCGTATAGTAACATTTTGTCTAGTACACTTTGTCTAGGTAACATTTGGTATTGGTAACATTTTGTATAGGTAACATTTCGCATAGGTAACATTTCGTAAAGATAACATTTGGTATAGGTAACATTTTGTATAGGTAACATCCATAGTAATTTTTCGTATAAATGTAAAAAATAAGAACGTTGAGATATTTTTGTAAGAAAACAAAGAATATTTCACTAAGAAAACTGCGAACCATTTAAAGAAAATCCGCAAAATTACAAAAACCTCAACCAGAGCTGAAAACTTTAGAATGAAATATCCAGATATCCCGTCGGATAATTAATCAGAGATGAAAACTTTTGAATGGGATATCCTTAATCCTGATCGGATAATTAATCTGGAGATTAAAAATGAGAGGAGAACAAGCAATATTTAATCTCAAGATTAAGAAAAAGAGTGGATTAAGCATTAATCCTGATATCCACCATTCTAAAGTTTTCAGCTCTGGAGATTAAAGTCATGAGGTAAACAAGCAATATTTAATTCCGAGATTAAGAAAAAGAGTGGATTAAGTCTTAATCCTGATATCCACATTTCTAAAGTTTTCAGCTTATGTCTCTGATAAGACTGATTAAGTCTACTTGTGGAAAGGATGCAATAATCGATAACAACTATCATAAATATACCTTTAATAGTACTGGAAAAAATGTAACTATTGGACCTGTGCAAACAGAAGTTGTAAGGCAAGGATTTCCACCCGGAAATCAACAGGGAACCTTGTAGGACAATCAATTCCTCTGCATGATTATGGTAATCAGCTCCTGATCAAGAAGGCTAAAGAACATGAGGTCGCTGTCCTTGACAACCTGACAAAGAATATCTACAGCAGGTGGCTCATGAACTTCAAAAATCGGTTAATTAATTAAACTGTAAAAAAATGAACATGTACATTATATATAAATACAAAAATAGCTGATATTTGGTGTTTCATTTTTCATCTTTATTTTTACATTTATACGAAAAATTACCCTAAGTGTTACCTATACAAAATGTTATCTATACAAAATGTTATCTTGACGAATTGTAACCTATACTAATTGTTACCTATACAAAGTGTACTATACAAAATGTTACCTAGACAAAATGTTACTATACGAAAATGAACTATACAAAATGTTACTGATCCTATTATTCAGTTGTGCAATCCACAAATATAGAATATATTGTTTAGTTGCACTATCTCCAAATATAGAATATATTATTTAGTTGTGCTGCAGGAGGAATCAACAAATTTGTAACAAATCTAACATTGAACACTTATTATCTCACCTGTCTCCCCAACAACACTTTTAACACTCCATCCTGGCCAACTTGTGAAGACTGTAAGTATCAAGACCAGTGAGTGTTTGTGATTTTGCAACATCTGATCTGCACCAAACACTTTCTGTATTAAAATGTTATTTCAAATTCTCTTGATAACAATGAAAGGGTGACAAAGGAGGAAGTGAAGAACTAACCCTTAATTTAATTGTCTAAACCACAGGATTTGCAGAAAGATGAAACCTAACACCTATTGGCAGGGTTTGGCTTTATTCTGTACATCCTTTGGTTAAGATGTTGATATGCAGGGTTAATGGCGGCACTTCACCCTCTCCCTAGGGTGACCAACCAATGTATTATTCATAATTCATTCATGATCAAACTCCATCTTTAACCAGCACTTTCTTCTAGTATTTCTAAACATTATGATGTTTATGAAAATAATAATAACAATATTTAGATACTTATTGTAATCCCTTTGCTTTGGAAACTGACTTAATTGTCACAACATCTACAACAAATGTTACATACAATGCAACCACCAAGTAAGTTTTAAAGTCTATTTAAAGATTTCTATTTGTTTTTCAGTAGACATGAATCTAATGATGTCTCAATTCAATGTTGATTGAAAAATGCTCTCTATCTCATTTTCATAAGAAATATTAACACATTTAAGAAAATAAAAAGTTGTCAAAGATTGCATTCAGGGATGTCGAGATGGGTAGGACTAGGCTCCAAGAACCAACAAATTTCAAACCCCCTTGAAAAATAAATTAATGAATGTGTGTTGCATTCCAATATTTTAAGTAACTTTAATGTTTACATTTTTTCATCAACCTCATACTTTTTAATTAGCATTCAAAAATTTTATAAAAATTTAATGTTATGAATTCCATAAAATGCAACATAAGAAGTGACATTTCAAGAAAAATTAGAAACCTCACAATAATTCTTTTCTATATATTTTACAATAATTTATTATTTTTAATTAGCTGGGTTTGTCGAGATAAGAGATATCTTGCCAAAGTAAGAGGATCAAATAATAATCTCACAAACACTATTCCTGCAAAATGTGATTGGTACACTAACTTTAATGTGACACCTGCTGACATTGAATGTGAACTAGCATTTTGCGTGAATGGTTCTGACTTTAATTCATCAATGAACTATAAATATGTAAAAATAAATGGTGGCGATAATAACTATAACGTTACAGCCCAGCAAAGGATTGGATTAGGACAATACTTAAGATACATATGTAAAGACGGATTCTATCTTCAAAATAATACTGACTTAAAAACAGAAGCAGAAAGATCTGTTAAAGTTTACTGTGAAGATGGATTGTTTCATTACCCTGATCCTTGGCCTGAATGTGTAGACAATATACAATGCGAAGATCCTGGAACTTCTGATGAACTTATCAGAACAGATAAAACACTATCTAACTTTGATTATGAATCTAAGTATGAATACAAGTGCAAGGACTTGAGACGATTTGTCAAAATTAAAAACTCAAATGATTTACCTGTTCCTCATATTGTATCAACATGCAAATGGAGAAAATTGTTTAATGTTTACGCAACACAACTTGAATGCATAATTCATCATTGTGGACATCCAAATGTTGGGGATGGATCGCATCCACATCCTCCAACAGATAACTATATCAATCTTATCAATACAAATATTGAAACAAATTTTACTTCTAGTTATGTCTCTTTTGGTACAGATGTTATGTACAAATGTGCATCTTCTTACTTTATAGAAAATTCAGAAATAGATCCAACAAAGACAAACATTACTGTAAAATGTCTCACCTCTGGAACATATGATATACCAACTGTCTGGCCAAACTGTACAAAAACTGTAAGTTGTGGCACACCTCCAGCAAAACCAGATAATGGTAGAATTAGTTGGTTGGTAGGAACAGAAAATCAGGTAATGTCTTTACTTTGAAAGTATTTTTAACATCAAGTGACTTCAATGATTTATTCAGGATACCTATAACACACGCCTTGAGTATCACTGCAAAGATGGTTCACAGTTTGATACTGATTCAATTGAAGGAGGAGATTCCATAACTGTAAACATTCGTTGTCAATGGAACAAAGTTTGGTTTCCTTATACAACCTTACCACCATGCAAAATAACTCATTGTGTTGATCCTTTTCCTATTCCTCAAGATTCAAACTTACAGGTAATCTTAAATATAGGTGCCAGGGTAATATGAATTCTTTGGTGAATTTTCAAACTTTGCTGCTATGGTAAAATATTTAGTGATTATATTTAATCCTTACTAGCCATAGCCCATTTTAGAAGGAATGTAGCGTCTTACAAAAAATATATACTTTGAAAATACATATACAACTAAAAGTAACACAGGGTGGCTAAAGTTTTGGACAGAGAGATATTAATTAATTAAACTTATTTAGCATTAAACCTTGTGTGTATAGGAAGTTACAAGAAATTGGACTGCTATTGATCAATTTAAAATGTATGACTGTAAGAAGAAAACAGCTTCTGGTGATGCCACTATGTTCTGGGAATCGGACAGATCAAAGTCTACATTCTCTATGAAGTGTAAACCTGATGGAACATTTGACTTTGTAAATGAACGGGAAAATTGGCCAACTTGCTTAGCTGATATTCAATGCACTGACTTACCTCCTGCTATTCCAACCAGTGAAGAATATGTTCTTCAGAAGGATGATGGAACAGTTACTGCTCAGTATTATGTTTATCCATTACCAGTCACATTTAATACCAAAACCTATACTTCAGAAGTTAATAACTCACTTATTCCACGGAACTACAATGCAAAGCTTGTGTAAGTATGAATACATTATACATTGACCTAATCTATAAAGGATTCAAACTGCACTCCTCATTCCTCCCATCCCAAAAGTGGGTTTTCAGGGGTGGGGACCATTCTATAAGAACAATACAGTTACATGTAAATTTCTTTTTTGTATGGTATAAAATTAGAACAACTATAACAAGAGAACTTAATGCCTAATCTATTTGCCCTCTCCATCATTCTCTGATGGTCAAATGTTAAAGAATATATGTTGTGTTACACAGGTATAAGTGTGGTTCTGCAAGAAAGTTCAAAAAGGAATCTGGTAAATTTAATGAATTAACAACAATGACTTGTCAATGGGACAAAACTTGGACTCCTTCCAATGCATTGCTGGTAATTTTGTATCATATTTAGCTTCAAAATTATCACAAATGATTACCCTAAATTTACTTTATCTTATCCAGTATTAAGCAATAATCTTTACCTATTTAATGGCGCATGATTGCAAGATTATTCTATTAATGAAACTTTTCCAGGATTGTGATTGGGTTCAATGTCTAAGACCCCCAATTCCTCCAAAATCTGCTAATCTTGAAATAACTGACTGGTTTGGAGAACCATTGGCTTTTGGAGAAAAAGCTAGATATGTTTGTAAGAGAGGAATGTATTTTGAAGATGATTCTGCTCAAGAAGATGTAAAATACACTTGTCAGGTTCAATTTAAAAATTTTATTTTCTGGGTCTCCTTTAAATTGAGCTTTTTAGGGAACTTGGTCTTATTTATATTGGGCGTTATAAGGAACAGGGTCTTCTTTATATTGAAGATTTTAGGGAACTGTGTTTTCTTTATATTTAGCATTTTAAGGAAGTCACATTATCTAAGTTTTTTTTTTCTTAGGATGGAACCAAACCTAAAACTAGAAGAGGCTTCTTTGATGTCCCAGAAGCAGATGATGAATGGCCTAGATGTGTTCAAGGTGAATTTAAATTTTTCTAAATATCCTAAATCACATCTAAACTTTACTTCAAACAAATCCAATCAGAATAAGAAGCCAGAGGAAAGGATTAATTGTAATAATCATTTGTCACTTTGACACAGATATTTTGTTTCAGCCCCTCTCTGTCCATCTCCACCAACAATCCCAGATGAAGGGGTTCAAGATTATCTTCCAGACATATTCCGTCTGCAACCTGTTCAGGGATGTGATGTGGATAGTACACCTATACATATAAAATGTCATACTTTTCTGAGTGTATATATTCAAAGTGCTTACTTTGGTCGGTATTTTTCACAAAGTCGAAAACTCTGCAATGGAACAAAAGGTATATGACGCAGAGGATAAACACTTTTTTTATTCATGGTTTGAATATACTCTATATAGATTCTTTTCTGGGGGAGGGGGGGGGGAGGGGAGATTGGGGAAGGAAATTTGATTTTGTAATTTCTTACTTTCTAATGTTGTAGGTGACGATGTAAGAGCACCCAAAAAAGCAGACTGTATAAACACCACAATTATTGAAAAATTTAGAAATAGCTGTCATGGAAAGGTAAAAATTACAGTTAAATTTAAGTAATAAAATTAAATAATTCTTTTATTTAGTTTAACTGCTCCATTCGAACTGAGAATGATGAATATCCTTTAAGCGCCCCTTTAGATGAACCAAATAATTGTATTGCAATGAAGCGAGAAGTTGGATTCTCTTATATCTGTGGTAACCTTTCTTAAATTTGTCAGATTAATGGAAGTAACTAAAAAGTTAAAGATTTAAAGATTGTAATATAGTTTAGATCAACATTTAATAAATCAGTGATTTTTTTCTCTCAACATATTTAATGCAATCTTTTTAAGAAAAGCATTTCAAATCATATAACAATACTTTTAGTTGCATGTTTTCCATGGAAAGAACTATTAAACAAGGAAACCTGCCTCAAAGATCTTCTTGTGAAGAACTATTGGGCATCATCTGAAGAAATAGTCAATTCTACAAAGGATGAGCATAAAGGCATGATATTACTCAAGCTATCCCAGAAATTGAATAAAACAATTCACACACTTGTGGATCTGAGCGTACGGTAAGCCCTTAATAAAATGATAATAAGTATCAATATTAACACTATTTTCAAAATTAACTAAATATTGTTGATAATAATTAGAAAAATACCACAATTGAGATTCTGAAATTAACTCTTTATATATTAACTGTTTTTGGGATCTGAGAAAGTTTTAATTGCTGAAATGTTGAGACCCTTTTTAACGGAACAATCATCTGATACGCTCGAGAATTCTTGATATGGCTTTTCTTCCCTACAGTGACAGATAAATTGGCACTGCCTAGGTCTATGCCAATGGTTCTACTATAGCAGAAAAGTTAAAATAGGCTCATTTTCTTGGTGTATAACAGATCTAATTTCAGGGATGTTTCATCCCCTACTGGAAGCCTGTGTGGACTTGGTGCCCTTTACACCGCTCTTCAGGATACAACACTATCTCAGTCTGAGCTTACTGCACAAGATTACACTTCTATGAGAAGTAAAATCTTTTTTGAAATGTCCTTGGCTGAAGATGTATTTATGACTGATGATTCTATATTGGATAAATATTATCTTTGTAAGTAGAGCTAGCATGTACATTTTAAATGCATTAGAAGAATAATATAAATCTTGTTCAGTCATATGTAATGGTGTTGGAAGACAAAAGCGGGAAATAGAAAGTTCAAGGTCTTTTTTGAGGAATAAAAGACAAGTTGAGACAGAAGATCAAATGTTAAAAAGATCTTTTGGATCTAACTTAAGGTGACATATTTTTCTACAAAAACCATGGGAATTCAGTGACAAATTCGATATCGTACAACCATATGCAGTCAAAACATAAACAAACATAATGTGAACATAGCAGACGAAACTCTTACAGATTACAGCTTTCTCAGTAGGTATCAATACTAAATCAAAGAATTATTTAAAAAGACGATATTAAATTTGTCACTGAATTCCCATGTTTATTGGGACACCCTGTACCATAAACATATTTATATAAACTCTATGAAAATATCATCATATTTCAGATATGAGTGTGGTCTAGCTAGAAAATTTCAGGATGAAAAAACTAAAAAACTATACATTGATCGAACAATTTCTTGTAACTGGAATAGATCTTGGACTCCTGTGGATACCTTGGACAAATGTGTTTGGACACATTGCCTGTATCCTCCACAGGTTTCTTTAAAAGTTTAATTGAAGGGCGTTACATGTTCTAGGAAAATTTTTCCACTGAGCAGTAGCATTATATTCCAACGGGAAAGTCAGGAGTTGTTGCATTTGCAGTACTATATAAGAGAAAGTGATGTTGTGAATTCAAAAGCAACTCATTTTCTTTTGCTATATTGTCAATTATTCACTAGAATTGTTGCATTTGCAATACTATAAGAGAAAGTGATGTTGTGAATTCAAAAGCAACTCATTTTCTTTTGCAATATTGTCAATTATTCACTAGAGTTGTTGCATTCGCAATACTATAAGAGAAAGTGATGTTGTGAATGCAAAAGCAACTCATTTTCTTTTGCAATATTGTCAATTATTCACTAGAAAACTGTTCTCAGTGTGTACTGTGTACACACTTCACATAAATATAGTAAGGGAGAGAACAGTTATTAAAATATTGACTAATATAAATGGTGCAGTCAGGTTTTCCAAACAGAGACTAAATTTAATGAATTTACGGGGGTTGCTGAAATGCCTGCTGCTGGTTTAAATTTGAATCATCAATTCACATCCTTCCTGAATTGATGATTCCTGGAAACATTTTATTTGAGAATAGTTGAAGTTTTATCTACATATGGGATTAAAGTAACAGGATTTGATTCCATTTTAAAGTATACTCTCAAGACTTTGAGTTAAAAAATCTCTTTTTTAGCCACCACCAGAAAGTATGCTTCATTCTAATTGGGATGGAAAACCAGTTGCATTTGGTAATTTTACGAGATACTCTTGTATTGATGATAAACATTTCTTTGAAATGGATAAATCCTTAACTACGTGGAACATTTCATGTTTGTCCACTGGCAAGTTTGACACTCCAAAAGTGTGGCCTATCTGCGTAAAAAGTAAGTAATCTATGTTTTTATTTTGTTACAAACCTAACATATCCCATCTCTTTTACCAAAAATCAATAAACATTAACAAAAATTCTTTGAAGTTATGATTGAAAAGTCATGAAAAAAGCTTTTACTTAATATCTCTTCATAAACCTTTTGAAAAATACATGCACATGATCGAATTGATCATATTATTAATTTAACAAGGTGTAAACTGTTCTGATCCTCCACCAAAGCCTGCGGCAGGTACCTGGGAATGGAATGGTGGATATGAATACAAAAATAAGATCAAGTATACCTGTGGACCCTATGGAAAATTTTGCAATGATAAGACCAACTGCTTTACTGAACTGTATGCAGAATGTGCCTGGAACCAAACCTGGGTCCCAGCTGTATTCCCAGACTGTGTAGCTACTGCTTGTCAAGATATACCCTTTCCTCCCAGAAGCATTGGCTTTGAATATAGACCAGACGCCAAAAATAACATGACCCTAATATCAGGTATACGGTAAATCAAGTTATCTAATCTTTTTACCTTTGCAACCTGATGGTGTACACATTTAATATTTCAAAAACAGTTTATTTTATTTAACAGAATTCAAAGTTTAAAATATCTAAGATCTAAAACATTGGGTTACAAAGATATAAGATATAAATTAGAGTTTTAAAGGCTCAATTCCTTTAGACAATTCGAAAAGAATTAAAATGAAAAAAATGAAATTAAAAGGAGTGTTCGCAAAAAGTGAAAGGGGGTATATAGGCTTACGTCGATTATTTTTCGATGTAAGCTAATACCCCCTTTGATTAAATTATCCTGATACCAATTGGAGTCATTCCTGGTTATGTAAATATTTTTAAAATAATAACTATTAAATCTTATCGTTGTCAAAAATAAAATTGAAACTTTTTATTTGTGAAAAATAACCCAATAATATTAATTGTGAAACTTGTTTCTCGAACATGTCAAATCCTGTTTGCATCAGCAAAATAGCATACATGTTGCAAATTAGATGCAACATTTTAAAGGAAAAAAATGAAATAAAAAAAATGTTGCTTATAATTTTCTTAATTTTCGTTGAATTTATACAATATTAACTCAAAACGGATATTTTTCCATCTTAATATATTTATTTTGACAACAAAATTTCTCTGGCCTACATTAGTGATTTGATCTAAACAGAAAATCAAAAGTCTGAATGAGTTGACAAATTATAAAAAAAAATTCTCAAATCTTTTTTAATAATGTATGAAAGATAACTTTAAACCTGGTGCAAGGTGGATTTGAGCATCATTGTCAAAAAAGTGTCAAAAAGTTTTACCCTTAATAATATTATTTATTAACTAGTTTAAGTTTTTATTGTTGAAAACAAAACTTTAGATTTAAAAAAAAAACTTTCGATTGTTGAAAAAAAGTTGATTTTTTTAGCCTAGGGGTTCTCCAAATATTTCAGCCAATTCGGTCAAGCAGTTTGGCCAGCTATAGCTAACATATAAACGAAGAGCGTTTTTATACAGAAGAGAAGAAAAAATTTTAAAAATTATTGATTAGTGGATTAGTGCTTTCAGTAGGGTCGTTTTTCAGTCCTTTTTAGGTCATTTGTAGGTTGTTTTTCGGGCGTTTTTTTTTGGTCGTTTGTTGGTCATTTCTAGGTCTTTTTAGGACATTTTTGGTCGTTTTTCAGTCCTTTTTAGATCAGTTTTAGGTCTTTTTTGTCTAAATTTTCTTTCAGGGTCAAAATCTGGGATGATCTACGAGTAGCAAATGTTTTTTTATTTATTTATTCCAAAAACATTTCTAAAACGACGCAAAACGACACCCAAACGAGCGTGCTGCAATCGTCGTTTTTGAAACTTTTCCCAATCTTAGCTTTTTTAGTAAAATATATCGCAAAGTTTAATGAAAGCTAATTTTAACATAATACAGTTTTGAAATCTTGTAAGTTTTATTGAATTTTGTTTTCTGAAGAAGATTGCATAACGATTGATAACACTAAGTTTACGTGATTTGAGAATAATTTATATATTTATTTTTCTCATTTCAGTCTTAATTTAGATTTGACAATCTACAACCCGGCAATACCGATGAATTTAAAGTTTCCTGGACCTAGTCAATGTCAAGGGAAAAAGAAGCTTCTTATTATTGGGAAAATTTCCTCCGGGATGAAAAAAGTGAGTAAAGTATCAAATATTAAAAAAATTTAAGAATAATCTGCGTTATATACATTATACATTATACCTTTTCATTATGCATTTTCATTATGTATACCTTATGTATCATTAGATATGAAACACGATGCATTATTACATTAAATACATAATAAGTGGTCTACCTTTTTCATGTCTTAAAAATAGACGAAGATATTAGATATTATGATAAATTTGATTAATTTAATAAATTGAAAGAATTAAGTTAATGACACAAATTCTGATTTTCTAATCCTTGTATATTTGCAACCCAACGTCACAGACCTTAGATATTTCAAACAAATTATTCTGTTAAAATAAATAAACTAATTTTGAAATATCAAAAGTTTACAAGCTCAGGTTACTAAGATATAGGGACTAGAAAACTTGAGTTTGTGGAAAAGACTCAATTCCTTTGTAAAAGTTTTGCAAAATCTCCGTCAATTTTGAAGATAAAAAATGATAGATCTTATTTTGAAAATCTCAAGACTGCAATTATTGTTGTCATAAAAAAGTGCCACATGGATCGAAGACGATCTAAAAGTCGTTACTTAATTCTCATGTTTTTTGGTACACTCTGTATATATTAATTATATTGTAGAAACCTGAAATAATCCTTCATGGGTCAACTCCAGGGGATGAAGGACTCCATCAGGTAATAGATCCTGCACAGGAGTACATTAAACGCTACGGTGTACTCCAGGTAATAGATCCTGCACAGGAGTACATTAAACGCTACGGTGTACTCCAGGTAATAGATCCTGCACAGGAGTACATTAAACGCTACGGTGTACTCCAGGTAATAGATCCTGCACAGGAGTACATTAAACGCTACGGTGTACTCCAGGTAATAGATCCTGTACAGGAGTACATTAAACGCTACGGTGTACTCCAGGTAATAGATCCTGCACAGGAGTACATTAAACGCTACGGTGTACTCCAGGTAATAGATCCTGCACAGGAGTACATTAAACGCTACGGTGTACTCCAGGTAGCCAGAGTTGGAGATTTTTAAATTGGGATAATTGCTTTAGCAGCTTAACCACTAACACTTTAAGCTACGTTTTTAAAAATATTAACTTGTAAAAGCTTTAAGTGTAGATTTTTAGTAACTGGATACTTCATATGGAGTCACTTTCTTTCAATAATCATATTTTATGCAATCTTAAAAAAATATTTGCTTTTGGGTTGAGATATAAGCAGATTTGTAAAGATTTCCTACAACTTTTCTGATTCTGCATTTTTTACAGGGAACTGAAGATATTGTTAATGGAAAACCGTTTGAAGGAACAACAATCGATTTTGATGAACCATTTATAATAACGTAAGTAGAAAACTTTAACTAAAATATTCGGAAATTGTTAAAAGCTGTAGCTTCTGGTTACCGAGTATTTTACCAAAGTATTTTCGACATTATTTTCTCAGAGACAATCTTATTCTCATACTATTGAAGCTTAATAAAGTAAATAACCTTAACTAAATTGAATAATGACACGATTATGCAAACAAACTACATTTACATGATTAAAAATAACAAATGATACTTAGTAGTTAAATATGATTAGAGAAGAGATGGAACTAACAAGGTTATAGTAAATAGAGTGATGATGTACGCTAATCCTTTACTAATTGTACATGTACTTCACTTCCAAAGGTCAATCTGTATATGACAGTACTCGGGGGTGATTTCAGAAAATATTTGAATGGAAAATTTGTTTTCCATGTAACTATTAAATTCACTACTCCTTTATCGTGTGCTTGATTCCATTTTCACAGGAAGACGTACATTGCAGTCTTTTACAGAGCAATATTTCATCGTTAATAACTGTTCTGAGAAATCTGAGAAAAATCCAAGATACAAAACCTCCCCACACACTTGTACTCCGAAAGCGTACTGCATATTTTATGTTTGTACTGTATGAATAGGCCATAATCTCTTAATATCCTTTTATCAGTAAACTATCCCAAGTGTACACTCAGGCTAATACACGCGGAGAGGTAACTAAGATCCAGCCCCCCTTCAGGGATCTCTCCGCCTTGGATGGCGGACATATACTTCAATAACCAGCCTTTCCAACCCCTTCATCAATACTAATATCAGGGTTTTAAACATCGCGGATCCGTTATTCTCTGTGTCCTGGTAACCGCTGTCACCTCTTTAGTCTCAACTCCTACCCGGAACAGTTGCCCGAGTTGCCCCTCTCCGACTAACCGTTATCTTGAGTTTAACGAATTTTCTTGTACGACACTAGATATGAGCGTGGCTCTATTATTAGACTATATATAACAGACAACTAAACCCTGGATTAGGTTTAGGTTCGTGTTTTCTTTACTATCTATTTATGTACAATACTAAATATGTACAACGTACAACGGGTATGAAACCGTGCTGGTTTACACTATGTAATTGTATCGGACTAAATCATAATGCAGATCAACTTTTGGCTCAAAAAGTTTATGAAAAATATTTTTTCCACCAAAAATGAGAAATCTTTTAAATTTTTCAAAATAGTCAATTACAATTTTTCTGCTGTGTAAATTAATCTATATATATAAGAAAAGTAAGAATGTACTTTATCTTAAATTATAGGTTAGATTAAGTCGTGCATAACGCATGTGAAATTAAAACTTAACGATATTTTCGTTAGAACTATTGAAAAATTAGTANTAAGAATGTACTTTATCTTAAATTATAGGTTAGATTAAGTCGTGCATAACGCATGTGAAATTAAAACTTAACGATATTTTCGTTAGAACTATTGAAAAATTAGTAGGTTTTCCTGCTAACGAATACTTTTACGAAAAATGCAAAATTTCCAATTGCGTGTTTCACAAACCTTTTCAAGAAATTTCGCATTTTTCCGCAAAAAAATTGAGCAAAAGGAAGCGGAAAGGATACAAAATTTCGCGGAAAAATGTTGCAAACAAAAATTTTGCAAAAAATATGAGAACATTTCGAAAAATTTTCGTATTTCGCCGAAAAATCTTTTGCGAAATATGCGAAATTTTGCGAAACATTTTTTTCATTCCGCTGGAAACCCTATAATAATTAGTGGAAAGGTATGTTGTTAACGATTGTTAGCAAATATATGGATTAACGAGACTATGAATCAAAAAATAAAATGCCTACTTCATTATTTAATTAAATTAAATATCCTTTCCAACACTTTTTTCTTGATCCTCCCTGTTTTCTTCAGGTTGATCTGTGATGGTGATGGCTGGGCTGTTCAGTGTAACGAGGAACCTGCTTATTCACATTATCTTCATATCATTCCTATAGAAAATATTACACACCTCCAAATAAAAGGAGATGTTTCTTTAAGGTAACTAGGAGAAAAGACAGTGCAGTCCCAAAAATATTGTGAAGTAGAACAAACACTCTTAGTGGCAATAGTTTTTTTTAGCAAAACTGGGCCTTGTTCATTTTGTAGCTTTCTAGCACCAATTTGTGTTAATTATATTAATATTTTCCAGTTAATTTACCAGGATTTTATTATATTTTAATTGGTTCATACATAAAGTATTATTATACAGCAGACCCCGTAAAACTGAGGAATAGGAAGACGACATTGAAAACAATCTTATGTGTGTTTGATATTGTTATAAATGAAATGAATCTGTGCAAATAGCACAAAACCTGTCATACTCCATAATTTTATGTGACTGTAAATAAAATTTGTTTAGTTTTGTTGGATTTGGTGAAAACCTGTCCCCAGCTCCACCTGTAGGGTTTAACCTAACCTTCAGGTGTCCGGAGGGAATGGTCTTTGATCATGATTGGTTTGCAATACCATTCGTTATGACAACTTGTCAGGTATTACAAGGATAATGGGATGATCCGGTGGAATTGTGGGGCCGGGGAACATGTTTACATTAACTGAGGCCGCGAATTAAAGGGACAGTAAAGGAAAAATGAAAGGGGGTATAGGCTGAAAGCTAATCACTTTAGCTCTTGATCGCGACCCATGAAAGTTATATCTGATGCTCCTATCTCGAGAAATTGACATAAAACTGTGTCAAATATATACGAAAATTAATATATATACAATTTTGTATAAAAGTAGTGGATTTAAACAGATCATATTCAGCAAATAAGCAACCAATCTGAAAACGATGATATCCCAGAGAAAGCTAACTGTAAATTAGGTTTACTTTTATATTTGTTGTTTCTATTTTCAATAGATTTAATTCATAATATTATTTTTACGTCCGTATTACTTGACCAGAAATTCCACCAATGGCAGTGCAGTAAAGTGGTCACGTGATACAGGCGGACACACGTGACCAGTATACTGCTCTGTCATTGGTGATAGTTCTGGTCACGTGATTTAAGTTTCAGATTTTCTAAATTTTACATATTTGAATTTTCGTATAATTTTAACACAGTTTTATATCAATTTCTCGAGACAGGAAAATCAGATAAAACTTTCATGGGTCACGATCAAGAGCTAAAGTGATTAGCTTTCAGCCTATACCCCCTTTCATTTTTCCTTTACTGTCCCTTTAACAGCTTAGTCACGGCCTCAGTTTCCAGCTTCGCGAAAAATGCGAATATTTTCTTTCGTATTTCCCATATTTTTGCAAAAATCAATTTTGCAACTGGAAGCCAAAAAATGCTGAGTTTCGTGAAAAGAACGGATGTACAACAATTTCGCGAAAAATAAAAAAAAATTTCGCCTTTTTGCGAGATTTCGCATTAACCTGTTTCGCGAAAAAAATTCAAATTCATGAACTTTTATTCCCAGTTTTTGTTATTTTTCGCATTTTTTTCTATGAAGGGAATGGGAGAAATGCATGTTCATAGCCCAATTTTTCAAGGCTACAGCTCATTGAAACAATTTAAACGATAACTTTAATAGTTTGGGTGCTAGAAACTTGTCCGTTTAAAAACTAAAATATATTAAATAAACAAATCTTAAACTTTTTAGGAAAATGGAGCGTTTGATCCGCCAGAGTGGGAGAATTATCAATGTGTTTTACGTAAGATATTTTCACAATTAGTTAAAATTTTTGGATTTAAATAGTTATTCTTCTATCTATCTATCTATCTATCTATCTATCTATCTATCTATCTATCTATCTATCTATCTATCTATCTATCTATCTATCTATCTATCTATCTATCTATCTATCTATCTATCTATCTATCTATCTATCTATCTATCTATCTATCTATCTATCTATCTATCTATCTATCTATCTATCTATCTATCTATCTATCTATCTATCTATCTATCTATCTATCTATCTATCTATCTATCTATCTATCTATCTATCTATCTATCTATCTATCTATCTATCTATCTATCTATCTATCTATCTATCTATCTATCTATCTATCTATCTATCTATCTATCTATCTATCTATCTATCTATCTATCTATCTATCTATCTATCTATCTAACTATCTAACTATCTATCTATTTATGTTTTAAGTATGAGATATTCCACTTTAAGATATTTAAATAAAAAACATAAGGGTTTGAATAGTCTTCAATAGAAATTTTGCCAATATTGTGTTTTAGTTTGCTTAAATGTCTAGTAGATCTTAAACATTTTATGTAAACGATTCTACGTTTTAGATTGATTTTTTTTAACAGTAACATTACTCTGCAGTAAGTGTAATCGATCTTAAACTTTATAATGGAGTCTATAGATCTTAAAGGCTGTACACACATTACATTATTTTCCAACCACTTTTTAAAACATATTTTTTTTAGCGACAACTACTGAATGTTATGACTGTACTACGACAAGTAAGAAGTTTTTATTCAAATTAATCAAAAATATATTTTTTTCATCTGATCTTGAAATTCCTTTATTACATAGTGGAAACCTTTCATCGTTTAATATATTTATATAAGAACAATTTGATAAAAGATCTTATGGATCTAAAAGAATATTTTTTGGTTCGACGTGTTGTAAAGTTTTTGAACAGACATTTGTTTTGTATATCTTTTTTACATATTTTTTTTTATCAAATTGTAACAATATTCTTTAAATATTTATATGATAGCACTAGTAGATGCAAATATTTTGACATTTCTATATTTCTTGTTCTTCATTTTCTTCTTGTTCGTACATCTTTTATCTAATTTAAGCTAATTTTGAAAAAAAAATTTGGAACATCCTAATTCCTAGCAGTTGCCGAGCTGCTACTTAGAACTGAAGGTTGAAAGGTTCTGTATCAAGAAGGGACCTCCATTTTGAAAACTATTTTGCTATTAAGAAAAGGAAAGAATCTTCGTTGTACAGAAACTAAAACTTTATAATACTTCAAACCAAAATATCAGTTTTTTAAATAGTTTATTCTTCAATATACATCGTATTTTCTTGTGTATTAGAAATAATACATAAGAAAACATCTTTACATGTTATCACGACCAAACATAATATGTTTTGGTTTCTGTAAATAAAGTACAGTTATGAAGATAGAACACTAGATGTAATTTTTTCAAGATTTAAGGGGTTTTGTTCACAATAACCCTGAGGCAGAAGCCCAAAGGAGCTTCGCGCAACATGCTTTCTCTATTTCTTGTCGTTCAATGCGGCAAACGCGTACCTCCTTTGGACCTCAGCCTCAGGGTTATTGTGAACGAATAAACCCCAAAATCTTGAAAAGACACCATCTGGTGTTCTATCTGTATTTTTACTAATCTATGGTATGAAGTATGTTTAATGCCAAATTATTCTCCCTGGATTGAAGAGATATTTAACCGCAAATTATTACCGTGACATGGCTAAACTTTCTGCAGTCTAGATCTTTCTACTTGTTTCACTTTAGGAATACTTTAAAACCAGGGTAAACATTTATTATATTTAAATATGGCTATTAAATCTATCTAGAATCTATCTAGAATCTATTTAGAATCTAGAATCTATCTAGAATCTATTTAGAATCTAGAATCTATCTAGAATCTATCTATAATCTATTTAGAATCTAGAATCTATCTAGAATTTAGAATCTATCTTAAATCTAGAATTTATCTAGAATCTAGGATCTAGAAGCTGGAATCTATCTAGAATCTAGAATATATCTAGAATCTAGAATATATCTAGAATCTATCTAGAATCTAGAATCTATCTAGAATCTAGAATCTATCTAGAATCTAGAATCTAGAATCTATCTAGAATCTAGAATCTAGAATCTATCTAGAATCTAGAATCTATCTAGAATCTTGAATCTATCTAGAATCTATCTAGAATCTAGAATCTAGAATCTATCCAGAATCTAGAATCTATCTAGAATCTAGAATCTATCTAGAATCTAGAATCTATCTAGAATCTAGAATCTATCTAGAATCTATCTAGAATCTATCTAGAATCTAGAATCAATCTAGAATCTAGAATCTATCTAGAATCTATCTAGAATCTAGAATCAATCTAGAATTTAGAATCTATCTAGAATCTATCTATAATCTATTTAGAATCTGGAATCTATCTAGAATCTATCTATAATCTGTTTAGAATCTAGAATCTATCTAGAATCTTTCTAGAATCTAGAATCTATCTAGAAGCTAGAATCTATCTAGAAGCTAGAATCTATCTAGAATTTTTCTAGAATCTAGAATCTATCTAGAATCTAGAATTTATCTAGAATCTAGAATCTATCTAGAATATAGAATCTATCTAGAATCTATCTATAATCTATTTAGAATCTAGAATCTATCTAGAATCTATCTTAAATCTAGAATTTATCTAGAATCTAGGATCTAGAATCTGGAATCTATCTAGAATCTAGAATCTATCTAGAATCTAGAATCTATCTAGAATCTAGAATCTATCTACAATCTAGAATCTAAAATCTATCTAGAATCTATGTAGAATCTAGAATCTATCTAGAATCTAGAATCTTTCTAAAATCTAGAATCTATCTAGAATCTAGAATCTATCTAAAATCTAGAATCTATCTCGAATCTCGAATCTATCTAGAATCTAGAATTTATCAAGAATCTAGAATCTATCTAGAATTTATCTATAATCTAGAATCTATCTAGAATCTAGAATCTATCTAGAATCTAGAATCTATATAGAATCTAGAATCAATCTATAATTTAGAATCTATCTTGAATCTTTTTATACTCTAAAATCTATCTGGAATATATCTAGAATCTTAAATCTAAAAATCAAGAATATATCTATAATATAAAAGTATTTGAAATCATGGGAACAACAAACCACTTTACTACATGCTTGAATCTTTTTATACTCTAAAATCTATCTGGAATATATCTAGAATCTTAAATCTAAAAATCAAGAATATATCTATAATATAAAAATATTTGAAATCATGGGAACAACAAGCCACTTTACTACATGGACACTGGGCCAGTGGGCAGACATGTTATAAGTAATGTGACATGTTATACCCCGTAATGTACCTTTTAATCTTTTCTTCACGAATTTCATCAAATATTTATCAAACAAACGGATTGACGTCAAACAGAAGGATTGACGTCAAAGAAAAGGATTGAATTGACGTCAAACAAAAATGAATTGACATCAAAGAAACCCAATTTGTGTAAATAATAAATATAAGATTTGACAAATGGTCATTAGAGTCTTGATTGTATATTTTCTAGATATAATTGTCCTAATGAATGTCTGAAATGACAGATAAGTATACATACATGGGTTCTTTAATGTTATTTTATGTTTATGTTTTGTGATAATTAAACGAGACAAATTAACCCCATGGTCTCGATTTATCAAAAGTATAGTAACACTCCTCAAACAAGGACCAAATCTACCATATATCTATCTATCCGAAAGAAAGATATATATAAAAGAAACTGCTAATCAGAGCAGTAATGTATCCCTCTCTTAATGCTGAATCAGGGACTAAATAGCTTTACTCAAGGGTAAGGAAAAAAAATATTTCTTTCAAGTATGAAATCTGAATTTTTTTTATCAAATTGTCGCACATAAAAAATATTGTATTATAGCACAGAAAAAGTAAAATTCTTTTGTTTTTCTTTCCTACTTTCTTTGTTCTCTACTGTTCTCATAATTTTTCATATATTTTTTCAAAAGACAACCTTTAGAATACCTGAATTTTTTTTTTTTTTTTGAATGCAAAAACAACAGTCTAGAAAAAATAAAAGTATTAAAAGTATTATTACCTCATTTTTCTCATTTTATCTTTTCATTTTTAAGCAATGAGTACGTGACAGACAAAAAGTTTGAGGTAAAAGTGAGGCATGAGGGAACAAAAAAATATCTTTTTTGTTTGTGGACTCTAACCTGGCGACACCAACAGAGAGACTTCACACTACACAGTAAATAGCACAAAAATCTGAAAACTCTCTACAGACTTTTTTAGCTTGACAAGAATGAAATCCAACAGAGCAAGATTAAAATAAAGTGCCTAAACTTAAAGAAAACTTCTAATCTTTATCCACATATTAACAAAATTGGAGGAAAAGGGGGTATTTTTCCAGGCAGTTAAGACTCTACTTCTCTACTACAATCATTATTTTCAACTGCAACCTGTAAATTACAAATTTGAGACTTATTTTTTCCTCCTTAAATAAGCCAGACAATATGGAGATATGTTAAAACTAATATCTGATATTATTATATTTTAAGTGTGAATCTGTAGAGCGAGGAATAAACTAGCTGTATCCAAGCAACCTGAGTCCCTGACAAACCGAGTCTCGATGAGACGTGTACTGTCGAGATATAAAAAGTATAATATAAAATTACATTTTTGCAAATCATAGCATTTCTAAATCCAAAATTTTTGAATATCTTCCGTCATATGAGAATTAGGAACTATTCCTGAAGAATATGAAATGCATGATTCTAAAGCTACAAAGGTGATTAAAATGAATAACATGAATAACATGAATAACATGAATAACATGAATAAAATTTTATGAATATTTTCCGCGCTAAATTTTTATCGTTAAGAATTTTTCACGCTCGTTATTACATGTCATATAAAATCCAAATCCAAAATTCTAATACTTTTTTCATCCTATGAAATTTAAAAATTGTCGTATATGAATATAAAAAGTTGAGCTCATGAATGACATCAAACAAATAGATTTTCCGGGCAACATTTTTTAAATTAAGAATTTTCCTCAACTAAATGAAAGGACGACCGTCAGTCCTTGAGTGTGTCCTGCTCCTAGCATTAGCAAGAAACCTTAATTTATCAAATATATTTTGGTAAATAGACAGTCAATTTAAATTAGTCAATATATGATACATTTTACATTGTAAATATATATTGTAAAGTCAAGTTTGAAGAATTAATTTCAACCTCTGTTCTGTGCAATATTAATTTAAGCAGAAAAAACGAGAACTTTAACATTATATTATTTTAATCCGCAGCTTTTGTATATTCAGCATGTAACTCTGTATCTGGTATGAATATGACTGGAAGAAAACCAACTCTCTGGCATAACTGATCTCGAAGGAGGGCTAAGCACGCACCTTAAGGTAACAGATATATGTCCTAGGGGATAAAAAATGTTATTAATTTTTGACTCTTAAGATGTAGGAAAAATAGTTACTTGCAGAAAACCGTTTTTTTTAAATATAAATACATCATCAAAAAAGTGATAAAAATAAACAGTCTTTTCTTTCACTCTTTTTCATTCTTTCTGGTCTTTTCGACTAAAAAAAACATAAAAAGATTTTAAAATCACTAGTCTGGACATTGTTTTATTCTTCTTTGAATAGGGGAAAAAATCTGTATAAAACCTTTTCCTTATGTTAAAACGACTGTTAAATCTTGTGGGTGGCAAAAGTCTGCATCTCACCTCAGGGGAGACTTGTTAATAAAATATATAATATATCTGTATTAGGCTGTGGAACCTGGTCCAAGAATGAGCAGAAAGGGAAAACAAGAAGATGATTCTCCATCTAGAGACATATGCCGTCTTAACAACTAAATAAAAGGATTAAATTTCGAATTGTCTTAGTAACGTGCCCTTCGACTAAACTACATAATAGGAAATTGAATAGATATAAAATTGAATTTATCTTAGTATAATGTATTTACAGTAACTTGGAAAATTAATCTGGAAATTCAAATTTCTTATAATCAAGAATCATGAAAAACAATGGTAATATATAAAATGTTATAGAATGTAAACAGTACATAAAAAATTGTTAACTTTAAACGAATGGAAAATATAAATATTTAGATTTAAAAAAAAGTGTCTTAGCCATTATTTTTATTAAGGCTGAAAAGTATAGCTGTGATGTAATTGCGACTTAGAACTTTGACAAACAATGTGTCTTATACATAATTGAGCCCAAAAAATGTGACTTAGACATAAGGTTTCCAGCGAACAAAACGTTTCGCGAAAAAAGGCGGGAAAAGGCGAAAATTTTCGGTCGCATTTCGCAAACTTTTTCGCAAAAATAAATGCGAGAAAATTTTTTTTTATTTCTAAGCAGGGTGAATTTAAAATATTCCGAATTATTTTGGATAAAATTTGGTTCTTCCCGTAGTAGATTTTATTTTGTGTGTTAAGAAGAAAGATCTTAACGGTCGAGAAAGTATTTTCAATCAAATCTATGAATTGTCTGATGTCTCCTAATCGTTCTTAAGTCTATATATTTATATTTTGTGTTAATCCATCAATTGGGCTCGCAGATAAATCCCTCTTAGAAAATGAGTCTTGTATTCTCAAAATTTAGTCTTTTTTGATGAATTTTCGCAACATTTTAGCTAAAATTTTGCATTTGTTTTAAAAATTCTGAATTTATCGCAAAATTTTGCAAAAAAAGTAAAAATTTCTCATTTTTTGCGAGCAAACGAAATGCAAAAATGAAGCGAAATGATCGTGGAAAAAAAATTTCAGGAAAATGCGAAATTTTCACGAAAATTTTTTCCTTTTCGCTGGAAACCATACTTAGACATGATTGAGACTGGATAAGTATTTTTGTGACCTAGAAAGTGTATTAGACACTAATTAGTCTGAAAAGTAAGACTTTGAAATTATTGTGACTTAGAACTGTGACTTAAAACTGTGACTTAGAATGGGCCTTGCATATAAATATAATTGAGCCAGACAACTGTGAATTAAAAATAAGTGTTACTAAAACGGTGTTTCAGACCTTATTAAGACAATGAACATAAAAAAACATGAATTTGACATAGTTTTGAGTTAGCATTGAGTCTTAGAATATAGAAATATTTGTTACTTAGAAAGTGTTTTAGAATGTTTCTAATGCATATTTGGGACCTATAGAGTGTCTTTGACATAAATGTGACTTAGAATTGTGACTTCTAAATTTTTTTAGACATAATTGTGTCTCAAAAGTATGAGTTTGACATAGAATGGTGACTTAGAAAGTGTCTATAGACATAAGCATGTCTCAAAAGTAAGAATTGTTCTTAGATTGTGACTTAGAATGAGTCTTAGACATAGTTGTGACTCATAATTTGACTTAGATAGTGTTTTAATTTGGTCTCAAAAGTATGACGTTGATGTAATTGTGACTTAGAACTGTGGCTTAAATAATGAATAACCATGAATTAGACATGGGTATGAGTTAGAATTGTGACTTAGAATGTGTCCTAAGTATGGCTTTGTCTTGATTGTGACTTAGAACGTGTCTTAGACATAAGCATGTCTCCCACCCCTTATACTTCCACCCCATTCAGTACAAAATATGTTAAAGATATACCAAAGGGTTTTTATATTCCAAAATAAAATAAGCATTTTTTTATCATTAAAATTTTATTATCATAGTGATGATATTATTGATATTGGTATAATTTTCATCCTTAATGTCATTATAGTATAATTGTTATTGCTATTACTACTATTGTCAGTGTATTTACAGTTGTCATTATTATTACCATCATGTTTTAGACGAGGGAAATATACGGGAATTTTACAAATATTGTCTTGCATCTGTATCAGTGAACGTTTCAATGCTTTAGTATTGTCAAAAAGGAACATTTTTGCTGCTTTTCAAAAGTTGAATTCTATTTAAGTTGTTGACAAGGTTACGTAAAGCATCCAAATATACCCTTTGAAGCATTCAATTTGTCAAAATTAATAATATATAATTTGCATCCACCAAAAGTCAAATCGGCTGAACAACTCAGCCCACAATTTGTTAGGAAATTCAAAGGGAAGGTTTATTTATAGCTTGTCGAAATTCAAAAAGTTTGCATAGTGAAAAAAATGTACATTTATGATTTTGATAATTCTTCAATTTAAACAGAAAATCCACATCAATTTTTTTAAGTAAAAATCAAAAGTTTCTGCTTAAAAATCAACATTTCACAGATATAATTGGTACTAGAACAGGGGCGCGAAGCGCATTTTTATAAAGGTAAATTTCATTATAGAGATAAACAGACACACACTAATTAGTGGTTAAATTTGTTTTAGACAAATTTTTCGAATACATGGTTTTAATACAAAAAAACATGAGGCAAAAAGATAATAATTAGTAATTAGTAATTAATATTAGTAATATTTATCCTTTCAGTAATTATTTCATTATTGAATCTTGTCTGTAGCCTAAAATCCCTTGAAGAGGGTGGTCACTTATGATCAATTAAATTATTAGATACATTCAGTAAAGAATTTGAAATAAAGTCAAATACTGCAACACATTTCATTGCTTTCATTCTATTGAGTGTAACTGTAACTGATGGGCGATCATATTTTGTTACGAATATTATTTTTCAAAACAAACAAACCTTTGTTTTTCGAAAAAAGAGAAATATTTTTTATAGGAATTTTGCCCCCCTCAAGGAGCTCCTTGAGGGGGGGAAATAAAGTTTTGCGCTTCGCGCATATTTGGCCTCTCCCCCTAGATTTATTTCGGTATTGTATACGCTCTTGGGATACAGAAGTGAAAAGTTAGAGTTTGTGCTGCGAAGAGTTTACTTTTTTTGTGCATTGTCTATTTGGCTGTTTTGCTTCGATATTTGATCGAGTTAATTAAAATCTCATTAGTGAGGTGATAGCACTTAGTCATGAAAGCACCCAATCACTGTTTAATATATTATTTATAATTCTATATTTTTTATCAGAAGGAACTAGAGGTGGGCGTTCTTCAAGAAACAGGAAAGGATTAACATATGTAGAACTAATGTTTTTTTTTTAATGAAAAAAACGCGATTTTTTCGTTAATCCTCATATGTTAATGACCACGCAAAAATATTACAAATCAAATCAAATCTTTTTACGGCGCCACAAATCCTTATCTCATCCCTTTCTTGCTCCTTTCTACCCCTTATTCCTTCACCCAACCAAATTTGAACTAAAAGACATTCTTTGCAATCAACAGCTTAAAAGATAAGACATTTTCGATTTTTTTTAACGGAACGTTTTTAAGACGACGTACATGGACGTGGAAGGACCGGTTTTTGAAAATGGAAAATATGTCTGATTTTGGATGATTATCATTTAATTCCTACGGGGTGTCAAACTTCAGATCAAAACGTCATGTCAACGCCTGCATTCATATGATTAACTTAAAAACATTATTTTTAAAAAAAACTTCTTTGATAATCCTTCCTAAAGTTTGAATGTAAGTTTATAAGTTAGCATATTTATATTTTATTTGTATATATTCAAGTTTAAATTTAAGTTTAAGTTAGCATATTTATATTTTATTTGTATATATTCAAGTTTAAATTTAAGTTTATAGGTAAGTATATTTATATTTTATTTATATATATTCAAGTTTAAATTTAAGTTTATAAGTAAGTATATTTATATTCTATTTATATATATTCAAGTTTAAATTTAAGTTTATGAGTTAGCATATTTATATTTTATTTATATATAATTTTAAGTGCCATGATGTTATTCTCCATTTACAACAGTATCCTTCAAAGTTTTGTTTAGATATCAATATTTACAATTGTGAAAACTGATTATTTTCAATTGTGATTTCTCTGTAAAAGTGACTTGCGCATTTTTACTGCATGAAAACATGCAGAAATTACAGAATTTAACACTTTTAACACTAAAAAACCGACAATATCTTCTACATTATTGATCAGATAAGGGTTTCCATGGGTACCGTTGTGAATCAGGCATTGCCATCTTTGCTTGGACTTGAAGCTATGCTTACTGTATCTCTTTAAGGAAGCTTTTTCCCCCCCTCAATCAAAAAGAAATAAATACTTGAGTTGAAAAAATAATCTTCATTTTCCCAAAGAAACTGCAGCTAAATACCCATGAAAAATTCTAATCTTTGCAATTTTATATCTTAAACTTTAATAGTTCAACATATAAATTTTGTAAGGTCAAATACATAGTCTAAGTTTGTAATATCAAAGGTTTACTCCTCGACCTTTAGATTGCAAAAATATAGCTGGATCAGCAAAAAAGATTATGGCAAGTGTTCAATTCATTCCTTTCAATATATTTGGATGTAAATAATAAAAAAACTTAAAATTTTTTACCTTTTTATAAAAGGCCGCAGGGATGATTGTTACTAAGTATATGGTTTTTCAACCATGTCAATCCTGATAAATTATGGTTAATATGTGTAATTACACTGTCACATGTCCGTGTACTCAATATTCGATCATTTGGTCAATTAGCCTTAATTATTCTTTTTCACAATGTTGTGGAAAGCTTCTTTCGGATTCATTTGAGACATATTAAAACTAATAAAAATAATTTAAAAAAAAAATAATTCTGAAAACGTATCCACCCCCAAAGTATGAGTTTTGAACGTCGAATTTGCGCTTAAACTCAGGATTTACAGATCTTTAAAAAGTTTGTCTCAAATGAATCCGAAAAAAGTTTTCCACAACACTGCATACTCAGTTCAACTACCTTACATAGCCGGTCACTCCCTTTAAAAACAAAGAAAGGTAATCGTTCTGAACTAAAAACTTGCAAACTGTTTTTTGGTTCCATCCCTCCTTGTTCCTACTTCTTATCCTATTATCAATTCTCTTCCTTTCTATCTTTTTATCCATTCTCTTCCTTCCTATCCTTTTATTTATTTTCTACATATCCTCATATCATTCTCTTCCTTTCTGTCCTTTTTTCTGTCTCTTCCTTCCTATCCTTTTTTTCCTTCTCTTCCTTCTATCCTTTTATCCATTCTCTTCCTTCTATCCTTTTGCCCATTCTCTTCCTTTCTGTCCATTTTTGCTTCTCTTCCTTCCTATCCTTTTATCCATTCTCTTCCTTCCTATCCTTTTATCCATTCTCTTCCTTCCTATCCATTTTTCCTTCTCTTCCTTCTACCCTTTTATCCCTTCTCTTCCTTCCTATCCTTTTTTCCTTCTCTTCCTTCTATCCTTTTATTCATTCTCTTCCTTCCTATCATTTTATCCGTTCTCTTCCATCCCATCTTTTTTTCCATTCTCTTCCTTCCTATCCTTTTTTCCTTCACTTCCTTCTACCCTTTTATCCATTCTCTTCCTCCCTATCATTTTATCCATTCTTATTATTCCTTTCCTTTTATTCATTCTTTTTCTTCCTATTCTTTTATCCATTCTCTTCATTCCTATTCTTTTATCCATTCTCTTCCTTCCAATTCTTTTATCCACTCTCTTCCTTCCTGTCCTTTTATGCATTCTCTTCCTACCTGTCATTTTAATCATTTTCTTCCTTCTCCTATCCTTTTATCTGTCTCTTTTCTTACATATCCTTTTATCCATTATCTTTCTTCCTGTCCTTTTATCCATTCTCTTCCTTCCTATCCTTTTTTCTATTCTCTTCCTTCCTATCATTTTATCCATTCTTATTATTCCTTTCCTTTTATTCATTCTTTTCCATCCTATTCTTTTATCCATTCTCTTCCTTCCTATTCTTTTATCCACTCTCTTCCTCCTGTCCTTTTATGCCTTCTCTTCCTACCTATCATTTTAATCATTTTCTTCCTTCTCCTATCCTTTTATCCGTTCTCTTCCTTCCTATTCTTTTATCCATTCTCTCCCTTTCTGTCCTTTTATCCATTCTCTTCCTTCCTATTCTTTTATCCATTCTCTTCTTTGCTACGTCCTTTTATGCATTCTCTTCCTTCCTATCCTTTTATCCAGTCTGTTTCTTCCTATTCTTTTATCTATTCTCTTCCTTTCTATCCTTTTATCCAATCTCTTTTTTGCTATCTTTTAATTCATTCTCTTCTTGCCTATCCTTTTATCCATTCTCTGTATTCTATTATCTCCGTTTTAATACCATAGGAAGTAACAGCTGGTTTAGTAAGTGGATAAATAAAGAGCAAAGAAATTTTATTTGAAATATTGTAAGAAGGGTCAAAGAAAATGTTTGGTATTTTTTCTCCTTAATCCTATCCTTTTATCCGTTCTCTTCCTTCCTATTCTTTTATCCATTCTCTCCCTTTCTGTCCTTTTATCCATTCTCTTCCTTCCTATTCTTTTATCCATTCTCTTCCTTTCTGTCCTTTTATGCATTCTCTTCCTTCCTATCCTTTTATCCATTCTGTTTCTTCCTATTCTTTTATCTATTCTCTTCCTTTCTATCCTTTTATCAAATCTCTTTTTTGCTATCTTTTTATTCATTCTCTTCTTGCCTATCCTTTTATCCATTCTCTGTATTCTCTTATCTCTGTTTTAATACTCATGGGAAGTAACATCTGGTTTAGTAAGTGGATAAATAAAGAGCAAAGAAATTTTATTTGAAATATTGTAAGAAGGGTCAAAGAAAATGTTTGGTATTTTTTCTCCTTAATCGGCAAAATTTGATAAAAGATGGTCCAATTACACATTATAATCATGATAGAATTTCGTGATATATGTTGATGGTTGCAAAATCAGGTTTTTCCCCCCCCCACCCCCTATAGTTGCGTTGCGCACTGCCTCTAGGCATGTTTCCATGAGGACATTTTTAAAACGATAATGTTGATCCTTTCTACTGCCCATCCGCGCCTTATAGTACCCATCCCTATACTGCACATTCGACCTACTGTAACATTCGACCTATGACATCTGTTTATTTTTGTATTACTTGAGGGTCAAAGGTTAGGTGAAGAGAATTTCTGGACCGAACGCTGCGGCTAGGAGGGGCTAATTGGGGCCGAGCGCCGTGGCTAGGACAGGCTAGATGGGCCGGGCGCTGCGGCCAGAAGTCCATCTAGCAGCTGTAAAACCACGTGCTAGTATGTCGGATGTATAGTATAGCAGATTTGGCGTACGTCAGAAGTGGAGTATAGCGGATTTGCGTAGGTTGAAAAATACACCACCATTTATAACATACTAAATAAAATGTCATCTTTGTAGATGATGGAAAGCAGGTAAAATCTTGTTTTCAGTTCTCCCTCACACTGTACAGAGTACACTTTACATAAATAAACAGTAAAAAGTCTGCTCTGATTACAGCCGACATTTCTTTGCCTCAACGCTGAACTTGATAACTTTAACATCAAATGATTTAAGATTTAAAAAGTATATTTACGACTATTTGAAATTTTCTAATTAAGGAGATTTTGAGCCCGCTTCAATCATATGTTTTTGAAGTATAATCTTCACACTGTGAAAATAAGATATGCTTTTAAACCCATACTCCGTCCTAGTATACGATTTTTGGACCCTATTCTATCAATTTTGTACCTGACTCTTTCAATAAAATTAAAAGAATTTATATTCTATTAATTCATGGTTAGGTTAGGTTAAGACAATTTCTGGGCCGAGCACTGCGGCTGCAAGGACAGGCCAGGGAGCCGAGCACCGCGACTATAGGACAGGATACATAGGATTGATAATATTCAATTGTGGTGACTCTATATAAGTGACTTGTGCAATTCTAGTGCAGGAAAACATGTAGGAATTATTAGAATTAAAAACTTACAAACCTGGTAAATCGAAAATTTCTCATCCTTTAGTGCAGTAGATACAATATGCTTGATATAATTTATAATTT